AAAATTTTGTATTGCATGTGTAATATGTTAATACATTCTCGTGTACAAGTATACTCGTCGTAAGTACGTTATATATTGTCAAATTATGGAGGTCACACTTATGGAGGTGTGGCAGTAAGTTCTACTTACCATAAGGGGTGGCCTCCCCCAGCGTGCGACTGTAGCTAATCCCCTGTATAATCATTTCTTGGTTTTATTCTCTATTTACCGAAAGAAGTGGTCCCCCAGTCTGTGATGGTAGCTAGGTCCCTTGCATAATCATTATCTGGTTCTCTACTTACCGAAAGAAATGGTCCCCTAGCCTCCTGCGGTAGCTAATCCCCTGTATAATCATTACCTGGTTTTATACTTACCGAAAGAAATGGTCCCCAGCTCCCACGGTAGCCAAAAACCCTGTATAATTATTACCTGGTTCTCTACTTACCGAAAGAAGTGGTCCCCCAGCCTGTGATGGTAGCTAGGTCCCCTGTATAATCATTCCCCGGATTAGGCAAACATATTGGGCGAATATAGGAACTGTACTGCACTCGGCGAGCAAGTTTTAACAGAGAAGCATCGTAATAATTAGTTCTTGGATTATAAGTTGGGTGAATCTTGATTTCTGCCACATCTATGTCCTCGTGGACTCCGTCGTCCGTCTGATTAAAGTCGTACTCGCCAAGTCTTACTTTGATTTCTTCGGTCGCCAATCTGAAAACCAGATCGAATAATATACGCAGTCTCAAATATAAAACTTAAAACAATATGTTTAATAACTTTTTATTACGTTAATCGCTACTTATGCTCGTGTTTATCTCCTTGAGTTAACCTACAGTAAATAGATCAAGTGCGAAATGTTGTGGTGTGTTATTCTCATGTTTATCTCGTTAAGTCAGTCAACATTAAGTTGGTAACTAAACAATGCATAACATGCTAAATAAATCAAGTACGAAATGTTGTTACTGAAATTACTGATTAAAACATGTGTGGTATGTTATTCTCATGTTTATCTCGTTAAGTCAGTCAACATTAAGTTGGTAACTAAACAATGCATAACATGCTATTCTGGTGCTTACCTCATTCAACCAACTTACAGTCATGAAAACGTACGTGGTATGTTATTCTCATGTTTATCTCGTTAAGTCAGTCAACATTAAGTTGGTAACTAAACAATGCATAACATGCTATTCTGGTGCTTACCTCATTCAACCAACTTACAGTCATGAAAACGTACGTGGTATGTTATTAAGGTGTTTATCCCATTAAATTTACCTATACTAACTAAACCATGTATGGTATGTTATTAAGGTGTTTATCCCATCAAGTCTACCTATACTAACTAAACCATGTAATGGTATGTTATAAAAGTGTTTATCCCATTAACGTAGTCTACAGTCATTACACAATATGTGAGGTTTCATTGCTTGTCAGCTTTTTTTTTTTTTTTTTTTTTTTGGCCGTTTTTTTTTTTTTTTTTGCCTTTTTTTTTTTTTTTTTATTTTGCCGGTCTTGTGTTTTACTTTGCCAGTCTTGTTTTTGCTCTGAATATACATTTTGCTGTGACATTTTTCATGATTGGGATTTCCCATTTTGTAGATCAACTGATGGTATAAAGAAATACAAAGAAACGTCCGAAATCGCCGAAAGGAAATAAGAACCTTCACGGACTCGATGAAGGTCGTATGGTCGAAACATTGACTGTCATATTTCTTTTTCCTTAGAGCGATTTAATTTTTTTGGGGGGGGGTTTCCTATGTATTCTCACGCCCAATACTGCAAATACTCGTCGTTATCTGATGTGGTAAGTGCGATGTTTAACCGCTAACCTGATTAAATACGCGTATTCTCTCTTCTATGTGTTACGACAAAGCTAGATTTCAACTGTTTCTGATTCTTTACAAAGCGGAAAACCAACCAATCGTTATTTAGGACACGCGAACTAAGAAATCCCCGCCGCAATTTAACAGTGTTACGAAAGAGATCCGACCTTGTAGTTCGAAACCGAGTTTCTGGGTTGCGTCAACACAGCAATAATAGTTTTGCTAAGTTTTTTGTGCTTGAAATAATAAAGAGGTGAAATATATCGTTGACATTATTAAACAACCACTTGTTCATCGTTGACATTATTAAACAATCATTAGTTCACTGTGCTTACCCTTCTACGCAGTGCGCAGCAGACAAAACGTATTGTTTGTTAATCAGCACTCCTCCACAGAATTGGCCGGAGAAGTCCACTGTTCCTCGGAGAAGAGCAGCCTTTAATATAAAGATACAAAAATGTGAAAAAAGAAAAAAAAACATTTCTAACAGAATTTAACCGGTATGATGATATTGAAATGGGGTTTAACACAAATTTACAACATGACGAGTCTTAACCTGTATTTATTTTATGACGATACATCATTGAGGTTGAACTAGTACAGGTAATGATATCATACAGAGTAATGGTGCTTAATATAAGTTTTTATAGTTTTTTTTTTATAATTAAACGTGTTCTTACTTTTGGCAGATTTATGAAGTAAAAGAAATCAACTAAATAGCAAACGTGTGTGTGTGTGTGTGTGTTTTCTTATAGCAAAGCTAAATCGGGCTATCCGCTGTGTCCACCGAGGGGAATCGAACCACTGATTTTAGCGTTGTAACTCCCGCCGTACCACCGGGGGACCGAACGTGCGACCTGAACAGAAGATTGGAGAGTTAATTAGTTTGTTAGTTTTATAGCAAAGCCACATTGAGTTTTCTGCTGTGTCTACCGCGGAGAATCGAGCCCCGGACTTTTGTATTGTAAGTCCGTAAACTTACCGCTGATCCACCGGAGGAGCAATAAATAGAAGCAGTTTTCTAAATGATTTATCACATGAAACCTGAAACCTCCTATCTTATATTCGTAACATCAAAACGACTAAATTAATATATATATATATATATATATAGAATCAGCCATTATTAAATCTGTGAGCTTCACTATTTTGTTATTTACTAACTATACTAATGACGTTAGTCATCTTTGTTAAAAAAACTTATTTTAAATCGGTTTTTATCAAAGAACCCAATCAAATAACATCGACATTCTTGATTTTCAAATCATATCCATCCTTTAACCGTCGTGATCGTAGATTCGCCACCTGAATGTCTTCAATAACTTCACCCATTTATAAGCAGTTTGGCGGAATAATAAGCCAGTTGATTATTTTACACTGTCCAACCAGTCCTTCTTCGACCGCCCTCATCTGTACCTTGCATGATTGTTTTGGCAAGAACCGTGGAGTGCACTGTATGACCACACTACCACACTATTACAGCTTCACCCTCAGATTACCGAATTATTTTTTATACTGTTCATTACGGAGGAATTCCAGGTATTTTGCCCGTTACAACACTCAGTGTACAAAATGGACCAAAACAACGGGCGAAATTATTCATTTACAGAGTAAACTAATATGGCACCCTGACAGAAATGAGTGTAGTTAATTGCTGTGTAAATGATTATTTTATTTACTTGTTTATTTACGACTCGTATATCATTAGGGATCCCGTAGTCAATGAAGTCATGGATACACAAAGTGGTGTTGACGATTAATAGCTTTGGAAATGCCTGGCTTGGTTTGATTGCTAGGGCACTCAACCCACACCGATAGGTTCAAATCCCGTCAACGAACATGCTCACTTTTTCATAACGTGAGGGCATTATAATGTGACGACCAATCCAACTTATCGCTGATAAGGTGTAGCTCCTAGAGTTGGCGGTGAGTCGTGTTTACTAGCTGCCTTCCTTCTAATCTATCACCTAAAAAATTAGGGACGGCTAGCGCAGATAGCTTTGGAATTGCTTTGTAGCTTTGCGCGAAATTCAACAAATAAACAAATAAAAGCTTTGAAAAAATTGTTTAAAATGCCCGTGGTGTTTGAACTTATCGATAATTCTGTGGTTAATTTTTTGTATTCCGCTGAACAGAATAAAAACTACGATTAAAGTTGAATTATTGAATCTCCATACAAAAAAAAATCCAGTGAAGAAAATAAAGACGATAAAATTTTAAATATGCAAGTTTAACAGATTTAATACCTCATCAAAGTATCTAAAGAACTCACCATCCATCTCCAATCATTTGGGTCCGCCACCATACCACCCACTATTCTCTTTTTAAAAGTTTGGCCACATTCTGGAAGAGAATATCTAAAAAATCAATACAGTCATATTATTTTTTTCCTTTGTTCAAGAAATCTCTTTACTTGAAAATACTCTTTCCTAGATTAGCTAAACCTAACAAGAAACAGATAACAAATTCGTTGTCCTATCTTACAGAAGTGAAGTTATAACCAACGTTTATATACTTAAAGTTTGGTGTGTTAATTATAACATTAATGGGTAATTTATTGATATCTAGCGTGTTAATCATAACATTGATGGGTAATTTATTGATATTTAGTGTGTTAATCATAACACTGATGGGTAATTTATTGATATTTAGTGTGTTAATCATAACATTGATGGGTAATATATTGATATTTAGTGTATTAATCAAACATTGATAAGTAATTTATTGATATTTAGTGTATTAATCATAACATTGATGGGTAATTTATTGATATTTAGTGTGTTAATCATAACATTGATGGGTAATTTATTGATATTTAGTGTTAATCATAACATTGATGGGTAATTTATTGATATTTAGTGTGGTAATCATAACACTTATGGGTAATTTATTGATATTTAGTGTGTTAATCATAACACTTATGGGTAATTTATTGATATTTAGTGTGTTAATCATAACACTGATGGGTAATTTATTGATATCGAACAACAAAAGCTTTCGATATAATTAATGGAACTAAACATAAAAAATGCTTTTCCTCGTTCAATCAATGAAAGAACTTTGTTTAGGTGAGATACATTTCTGTAATGGTAAAATGATAAAGAACGACAATGTAATAATGGTTAATTAGAAGATCATGTAAGAATGTGTAAATATTTCAAGGAGTAAAACCGTTACAGTAGTTAGACATTTCTATACGAACGTGTAAACTATTTAAATTCGTACTTTGGAGAAAGGTCTGTGTAGCTAACAACCACAGTTGGATGATAGAAGTTCGACTAATATTACTTAAATTTTAAAACAAAAACAAGAGGGAATCTTCAAGAGCCGCGGCACTTGAAATTATTTTAGGGAGGATTAGAGTAAATTAATCTACGAGACCTTTTTCTTTCTCTCTTTTTTATTAGCTATATTTTTTTTGTGCGCCAGCAATAACAAGCGTTTCGATTTTAGTCTTCTTCTGTAGCTTTTCCCCGTATCTATACGGGGTCGCTATTT